CCCTCGCCTCTATCCATTCCAAAAAATCGTCTCCCTCTCCTCCTCCCTCCCTCCCTACCTCTGCGTCCCGTCCCCCTCCGGCATCATCTCCAAGGGATGCTCTTTCCTCCCTCCCCCCCCATCACCCACCCGCGTATCCGGATCCCTCTCTTCCATTTCACTTTCCCTTTCCCGCGCCGTCTCCGGCAAGGCTGCGTCCGGAGGCGTCATGCTCGTCCCTGGCTGGCCCGTCTGGATCTGCGCGCCCGTGGGGCTCACCTGGGAGAGGATGGTGAACAGCTGCTGTTTGATCGTTTCCAGGTATGGCTTGGTGTTAAGATTCTCCATGTTGGAGACGGGGAGGTGGAGTTTGTAGTCGGGGCCGTAGTCTGGTAGGTACAATTGCAAGCGCGGGAGGGATGGAGGAAAGGTTAGTGAGCGTCCTCCACAGCACGAGCGTCAACCCCCAGATACCGCAGCAACAATCCGGAAGCCCCTCCCATCCGTCCCCCCTACACTCCTGCTCCACTCACACTCAAAGTAATCGTGGAAAGGCAAGTCGTCCTTGATCTCTGTCCCCTGGAGGACGGAGGTTTCATAGACCCAACATCGAGGCACGTTCCGCAGCGTGTACCCCCCCCCGCCCAGGGCCAAGACAGGCACGTCGAAGCTTTTCACGAAGGCGACCGCGTCCGCGTGCCCCTTCAAGGACAAGTTAAAGCAGCCGAGGCGATCGCCCGACAAGGAGTCTGCGCCGCATTGAAGGACGATGGCTCCTGGCGCGAAGGTCTCCATCACTTTCCCAATCACAGGTCGAAACACCGAGACAAAACTTTCGTCGTCCATCCCGTCGTGCAAGGGGAAGTTGATCGCGTAGTTTTTCCCGTTTCCGTGCCCAAAATCGCTCACGTCGCCCGTGCCCGGAAAGTACTCACCAAACTTGTGGAAGGAGACCGTCATCACCCGGTCGGTGGTGTAGAAGGCCTCCTCCACCCCGTCCCCGTGGTGGATGTCGATGTCGATGTAGAGCACCCGGTGGTGGTGCTTCAGGAGCTCCAAAATCGCCAGGACGCAATCGTTCACGTAGCAGAAGCCCGAGGCCTCCGATTTCTTGGCATGATGCAGCCCTCCCGACCAATTGATGACGATATCGGCCTCTTTCTGGTTCAACAAAGCCGCCCCTCCGATGGATCCGCTCGTGTACAGCTGACAGAATTCAAAGAGTCCGTCGAAAACGGGGCAATCCTCCCCGACATTAAACCTCTGCAGCTGCCTCATGTACTCTTGCATGTTGTCGGGTGTAATCACTCGGAGAAAATTGATGTAATCATCCGAATGGAATCGGGTCATTTCACTGAGCAGCACGGGCTTGGGGCGAAGGATTTCCATGTTTCGATACAACCAGTAGTACACGACGAGGGAGTGCGTCATCCGGACGCGGTGGGGCTGTGAAGTGGTAAAAAGAGGAGATCGAGGATGTAGACGATCAGCTAGGGAGGGTGTTTAACCACCCATCAAAACATCCCGTGCTTACCTTCATGGGATGCCCTTGCCCATAATGGAAATTCCCAATGTCGGAGTCGTAGAAATAGGAGATGCGCCGTTTTGTTGGGGCTGCCATGCTGCTCAGTAGCCCAAAGAAGGATAGGAGCAAGGACTTAGTAGACGAGGGCAGGTCAGTGTGACAATTGGGTGTGCTGTCTTCTCACACGCGGCCTCCGCCGATGCCTTATAGAGTGTCAGACTTGAAAAGGACACCACTTGAGGGCTCTTTGCTGGACTGTATGGTTGCATGGAGGACAAATTGGTCAACAGTTCGTAAATTCTTGTAATAATATACTGGGCACAAGCGCAGGACCCGACGTTATGAAGGAAGAAAAAGAGATCCGAGCCACAGGTGCCGGCATGTCTGCGTCTTACATCCAATACGACGTCAAAATACGTAATGTACCGCCATCTTGTGACCTACTTCGAGTAGTTCTTCCTCGGCATGGATCATGTGAAAGAGACTTGCGCGTCCAAGATGGATTGTAGGGTTTGCCGATGTCCGGGACGCTTGAGCGAAGGCGCAGGCGTCATGGTAGTCTTCTGTATGTTTCTGCTCAGCCGGTATTACTTCCCCTTTTTTTTACGCCTGCTGCTGTTTTGGATTATTTGTCGCGATCACGGTCTCACAACATCGTGGTGGACGCTCATTTGCTGAAGCATACCGTTACTTGCGGCTTCTTTTTCCAAGGATGACGGCGAAATCACAAGCATTCGTCATGAACACGGTTACCACCCACTGCAGCCCCTGCAACTTTTTTTTTCGTGAAAAGTAAATCAGGTGAAACACAAAGCTCACGTGCGTCTGTATCGATTGCTCTGGGAGATCTCAATGCAGTATCGTAACCTAGCTTTCAGAAAAAAATGTGTCCGCACGGACAACTAAGCAAAGTAAAAAATGCGACGGGTAACAAGATTGACAAGTGAGGCGAGTGAGATTATATGGTATCTTTTTGGTTTCTGCGTTTAATTGTAAGCGCCGTGCAAAGAAAAAGCGTTCAAATGTATGTGAAGGATGGTGAAAGGAGTCATGCCCATTGAGCGCGTAATCAATATGGGAAAACTGAGAATCGAATTGTGCAAGGCCGCGTGCTTTCTTCTTCGCTACTTACATGCATGATGCTGTGTGTCTCGAGCAGCCTTTGTGGCTGATATATGCAATCATTTAAATCACGTTCTTTTTTGTTTCTCAATCACATGTCGCATATTTCTACCAAATGTACCCGACCATCTATCCATGCAAATCCCCTTTCCAGTCTCTGAACTCAATCCTCATCTCATATGTAATTGGAAACCTTGAATGCATCTCTACCATAGTCATAAAGAAAATAAGCCTTCTTGCAGCACCCGCCCACCCCGATTCTTTCAGTCCAAGACTGGTCCCAGTAGATGGTCATTCACTGAGCTCCTTCGCATATGGCCCCGGTGCGCACTGGAGGCGCCGCTGCTTTGGCGCCGATGGTGCAAGGGCCGCCCGCCCTCCCCTCCCCCTCGCCCAGTACCTGCCCCCATCCCCGAGGCGAGCAAGGGTTCTTCCAAGGCATTTCCTTGCCTTTCCATGCCGGGCGTGAGAGACATCACGCGGTCGCCGGCCTCCCCGCCCTGTCCGCCCCCCGCCGGAATTTCCCCGCTCGTTCCCCCCTCTCCGTCTGCCTTCGCCGGAGGGTCAGGAAAGAGGAATGACGAAGCCTGGCTACCAAAGAGCTGCATCGAAGGCCTCTCCATTCGCCAATTCGCCACCACCACGAGCAGGCAGGCCCCAATCGCCAGATGCATGATGATGAATTGGGCGCATTGCCCGACCAGAGCGACCCGTGTGTCCCGGCAGAAGCCTCTCTCCGTCTCCGGGTACTTGTTCTTGGCCACCAAGAAGAGAAGCTGCCGGTTCGCACCCCCCGCGTGCGTGGTGTCTGTCTCCAGGAAATGCGTGCAGCCGGCGTCCGTCCAAAAACCGTACAGGTGGTAGGCTTGAAAATTGCTGGAAGAAAATGGGGAAATCGGGAAGAAAGGGAGGCGACAAGTCAAGCCAGACACGGGAGGAGCCAGGGCCGTGCCCCCACACCCATCACCGGGTTTCCCCCGCTCCCATTGCTCCGCCTCCTTTGCGGCATCCCTACCTGATCAGGATAGGGTAGGAGAGGAGGACGTGGACATAGGCGGTAAAGGAGGCCCATTTGAAGGATTCCGGTTCCTGTTTGCAGGCCCCGTAGACGACGCTGGCCACCGTAAGGAGGAGGAAGAGGCCGACCGTGTCCAGGGTGGGGCGTTGGAAAGGGAAGAGGTAGCCGTGCCCCACCTTGTCGAGAAGGAAGAGCGTCTTGAGCGCGGCATCCTCCTTGGCGGCGATTGTGACGATGTAGGCGGCGATGGCGAGGCCCACCAGGCAAAGGGCCGGGCGGTGCCAGACCAAGAGATAGCGGGACGAGCGAGGGACGCGCCGGGTGCGGTAGGTGGCGTAGAGGAGTAGGAGGAGGTTGCAGAAGTTGGCAGCGAAGAGGACGAGGACAAAGGCGAGGAAGGAGACGTTGACCCGGCGGGCGTGCTGGCAGGCGCCCGCCGCGTCGGGGACGTCGGCGTACATGCCCGGGCGGAGGAAAGAGGCGAGGGAGATGAGGGTGGGGGTGAGCTCGGTGATGGCGGGGACCACGGGGTTGACCGGCCGGTAGACGAGTTGCCCGAGCAGGGTGTAGCACGTAACTGTGAGGGAGTAGGGGAGTAGGTCCATGTCCTGCAAGCCCAGGTAGCCGGCCTTGAACCCCAGCCCCATGAAAATGAACATCATCCCCCCGAAGGCGGAGGCACTGACGGCGAAGTTTTGGGGCGTGGCGTTGGCATTGTTTGTGTTGTAGACGATACAGCGTTGCCAGCTGGTAGGATCCTGCAGGTAGGTTGGCGTGTTCACAAATATCCACCCGTACAAACAAGCGTAGATGGAGGCGACGATGGAAAGCGGCATGACCACGTAGAAGAGCTTCCGTAAGAGCCCCAGGCATTGGGTCCGAGTGGCGACGATGAGCGGATCCTCCTCCTCCTCCTCCTCGTTGTCTTTCTGGAGGTGCACGCCGCTCGTCCGAGGACCGCTTGCACGGAAGGCCGTGCTTGCCACACCCTCCCCACAACGCGGCATGGGGGATTCGTCGCCGGCTCCGACTGGGACTTTGTCCTCGTCTGGATTGTCCTTAGTGCTCGCTGGGACCATGGTAGGTGGCCTGCCGGACAACTCCTCTTCCTCCTCTCGGATTTGATCTTGGGGGGCATTTGTAGGTAGAGGGAGAGGCGCTGCGATTCCGGTCTCGATGTCTGGGACTGCTTCCGAAGAAGAACGAGGCGCAGGATAGGGCGTTGCGGCATCCATCTTGCTTGAATGGGCACAAGGAAGACCTCCTGGCTGGGTGGTTAAGACGTGACGTGGAGGTGAACAAAGAGCAATACGCCTTTCTATGTGTCCTTTGCAATGAATCCTGGCTGCAGACACTCTCCAGGTTCCGTCCACAAGGAGCCAAATTTGGACCGAGGCCTGCCATGTCGCAATGAAATACACGAAGAATAAAGCAAATGCAAGCTGCAGGTCGAACAGCAAGGCGCGGAGAAGGATACTGCGCGTGCCGTCGTGAAACGTGCCATGATGGTTTAATTGCATCCACGTACGCACGCAAATACCCACAGGAGACACTTATCTCATCTTCCGCGCAGAGGTTTGGCTGCACACGCGCCTTTCTGCCCGATTTAAAAACGACGGCAGGGAATGGAAAGGGATCGCCGTCGCCGCCCCAGTAGCTTGAGCGAGGCCGGCGAGGTTCGAGGCTTTAGCTTGCTATCTTACTGCAGTTGTAGGGGAATTGGTGCATGGATAAATAGGTCACATGAACAAGTTGACGAAGGCGACGATCATGGCCTTATTTGATGCAGCCTGTTTACGATATATTGGTATATCGATGTGGAGGCAAAGAGCCATGCCACAAGGTGAGCATGGCTCGCGAGGTCCCTCTTTTCTTTTCGCATTTTTTATAGTTGTGAATGACCTTGAGAGCTGTATGTCGCTTTATGCATAGACCACTCGAGCATAAAAGGATGTCTGGGACTCTTACTTACTACGTGGAAATTATTAATATACAAAGCCAACAGCCGTGATCGATCTTTTTCTTAGGAAGCTCACCATCCACGGCCCTTCTCATGACGGGGAGCAGCAGGGAATGTACGCCAACCGATGAGTAAGTTCAAGATGAGAGCGTGAAATCTCACCACTCTTTCCGCCGTTTCGCTGTTCTTGATGGTAAGTTCTCACTCCCGCACACGCCCGACTGATCAACTCACCCGTACAAAGTGTTTCCTGTGGAGTGACCGAGGAGAGAGAGCAACTAGAGCGGCAAGATGCCGCCGATCAACAGCAGCAAATGGCAATCCTTCAACAACTTATCGAATCGGGAGAGAAGGACCGGATTAAGGCGTTACTGCGCGAACGACTCCAGGAATGGGGGTGGCAGGATCAGGTCAAGGAATTTTGCAAGGAAGTTATGCGTATAAAAGGCACAGAAAGCGTCACGCTCGATGAATTGGTTGAGCAGGTCCTTTCGAAAGCAAGAGGTAAGTAAACAAAACAAGATATTACGTTCCAGAGAGGGCCATGCGATAGACCAGGATTTGTTCAGCAGATGACTGCCCAGGGGCCACAAAAGGTCTCCATGGCCCCCTGTACCGTGGAATTTTATGCTAGAATGCATAAGCATCTGCTATGAGTAACCCATAATATCAGTCCATGTTGTCAAAATGTCAATATCAGCGAACATATGAAACATGTGCGATTGCTCCGTCTTGTCACGGAACGGAAACGCGCTGACTCCGACTGTGGCTGGCAAAGACCGAAGGGGATATGGAGTAAGAGCTGAATTATTCACTTTTGCTATATTTGGGTTGAATCTCACTCGAAGGCATGCATACAACATCCACAGCTGCCGTGCCGGACAGTGTCAAAGTGGAGGCGCTGAAAGAGGTCCGAGCGTTCCTGGAGACTGGGAATGATTGAAGATGCCTTGCCGAACGCGAGTTTGTAATATTACAGATATAAAGAAAGATCGCATTGTCACATCATGATGTTTTTTCACATTAAATTGGCTCTCTTGGCCTTATGTGATTGCTTTCTTCGGGAACCCGACGCTCAGCGCTGCCGCACGGAATCCAAATCAAGACGCGAGGTACAAATAGCATTCAAATATAACGTGTGATCAAAACCATTCAATGTTCCCCCTCAAAACTATTTCAGTGTCTCTTATCTGCAAGCCACCAGAGACCATGACGTAACCTCCTCTCTCTGATTACAGTTCGGCAGGAAAGGGAACTCAATTGCACCCAAAACGTCAAAAATCTTTGCGCATGCAGTCGAAATTGTTCATAAATAGTCTGTGAAATCCCTTCTCTGAATTTGTTCTCGGCCACGCCACAAATCTTGTGCCGTAGGAATGTGGCTAACGGCCGCAGGTTGAAATTCAAACACTTCAAGTCAGCGCAATGTCTTGCCCAGTGCATTGATTCATTCCTACTTCCGTCCCGCCGATGCATAGATCCCAAATGATCTTGTCAATCTAGGGTTGCGACGTCGACTTTGGTGCCCGCAGCTTCCTGCACGTCGAGGAGCTGGCTTCGCCCCCGGCCATATCATGCCCACATCGCGACCGCGGCCTAGGTCAAATTCCTACCCACAAGAGCATTATCACGAGGAAGGAGAGGGCGAGGGCCAGGATGAATGCTACGCGGCTATTTTCAACACCAACGTGCTCGTGGGTGCACTTATTTCGTGGGCTTTGCTTGTTTTAAGCCGGACGCATTGGCAAGTCTTCTCGCCTCAACATTATCACCCTTCTCCAGAAAAGCGCCCTTGCTCACCCACGAGCATCGGAAGCACCGACGGGGACGAAGAGATCAGTGGCAACGGGTGGAGCAGCGACGGTACAGGCGCCCAAAGAGTCTGGTCGATAAGTTCGCCATCCAAATCCTCACCTTATGGGGAGAGGGGGACCAACATCGATATAGGAGAGCCAGGGGCGCTTCTTGCGCCCAACCCCCTCATTTCCCATTCCGTTTCCCCGCCCAGCTACAGCAGTAGCGGGCCTGGCGGCAAGGATTGGAGCAAGGATAGGAGACTTTTGCGTGAAAAGAGCCCCTGGGCCGTGACCATGGGACGGAAGACACACACACCCGCCATCTCCCTGCCCGTTCCCGGCATGTCCCGACCGTTACACCGCGGGGAACTGATTCAAAACCGCTACGTTCTTCAAGACTTCATCCAGCCTCTGGGAGTGACGTATTTGGAGGAGGGTGTCCGTCAGCACGTGCATGACTTGGCGTTTGTGACGCCGGAGCTCAAACAGCTCGCCCCCGCCCCCCGCCCTCCTCCCTTCCTCTCCTCCCCACGGGGGCTGAATGCCCTCGGCAGGGGCGTGGGCCCGGGTATGGCAGCGAGGCAGGGTGATGCCTTGGAAACGAGGAGGGACGGGGCGGTCGTTCCTTCCTTCAGGCATCCAGGCGCGAGGACGGACGAGTGGGAGGGAGGGGAGGAAGGAGGGGAGGATCAGGAAAGAGGAATGACGAAGCCTGGCTACCAAA